TGTCGCTCATACATGGCGACATTGCCAGTCAACTTGTTGATCTGGCGCCGGAGCGTTTCGATGGTGGCCTCACAGTCGACCAGCGACTGCTTACCGGGAGGGGGGACGTAAGCGGCACCCGAATTCTGCTCAAATGCCAGCACTTGAGCTTTCAGGGCCGCTATCGTCGTATCGCGAGAGAGGACAGCAAGCTCACGAACCAGCGCGGCGAGAGTCCGGACAGAGGAAGAGAGGGCACGGCAGGCGGGTGGCGAGGACCGAAGGACACAGCAGCCGGCGAAGAGCCATGCCCCAGAAGATAGATGGGGACCAGCCCCATCCTCCAGCGCGGCTGGGAGGAAATCCTGAAGGCCGAACGAAGTTGCGACCTGGAGAGCGAAGAACATGACTGCGACCAGCGCAAAGAAGAGGAAAGTAGACGACATATCGGTTTATTTTGAGAGTTTGTTTATCGTTATGAGAAAGATGGACGGTCAAGAGCAGGAGGTAGACTTTATATGCTGACTGGGAACTGTGAAATGTGCTACTGACTATCGTAGGTTGCGACAATACGAAAGTCGCTATTGTCTTTACAGGGTGAAGGGCGCAATACACACACCAAGACCGTGGCTATGATAACTACAATAGCTTCCATCATTGCGGCCGTGTCTATTCGCAGTGACTGTAGCTCTCTCATCATGGTAACAGCCAAAGTCTGGCTTTGCAACAAGTCCATGACGACAGACAAGATCACATACATCTTTCACCTTCACCACGGAAACAGCCAATGTCGCCCGTATCATCGCGATTTGGCCAACTCTTGGTCTCTGTACATTTCATCGTAGGCATCTTACATGGATCCTATCGCTCTAATGCCGCATGAAATGTGCTTGAACTCCCCTACTCGTAGTGTTCCTAGACCATCGTTCCTGGGTGACATAAGCAAATGACGACGCTATACCCAATTGGGACGAATAAGTGAACACGTCACGACTGACTGCAGCGTAGAGTACCTATCCGACATTGATGGATAAATTGCGGCAGTTCCAGTCGCTTGCTTACGGTCACTTCACAGATGAATACATGCGCAAGTATGGAGCATGTGATCGTCTTATTCAGCCTGACAGGCGTCAGAGCGGGGAAGTCTCGGCCTGATGTCTTTCCTACCGTACCGTCCACCCAACTCTTCTTCAATCACCACATGCAAATAACACGCGCCACATATGTACCTCAGCTATGCGTCTCATAAACTGCAAAACTCTCGAGCTCGAGGAATACTTCGGCGCCGACATCCCGGACTACGCCATCTTATCTCACACGTGGGGCCGCGAAGAGGTGTCGTTTTCCGACTTGCCTCTGTACCAACCTTCAACAGCAAAGAAAGCTGGATACCTGAAGATCAAACATACCTGCGAACAAGCGTTACACGACGGGCTACAATATGCATGGGTGGACACGTGCTGCATTGACAAGACATCAAGCGCGGAACTATCAGAGGCTATCAACTCCATGTTCAATTGGTATTCGCGTTCTTGCATATGTTACGCTTTCCTAGTGGACGTTTCGGCAATCGGATTCGAAGGAGACCTTCCAGGAAGCCGATGGTTTACCCGCGGCTGGACTTTGCAAGAGCTAATCGCACCCGCGGAAGTGATCTTCTACGACCGGAATTGGACGGAGTTTGGACGTCGCAGTAACTTATCAGAGTTGATAGGGCAAATCACGCGGATCGACTCAACGGTTCTGAGTGAAATCAAAAGAGACCGTTTGGGCCAATTGGGAAACAGACTTGACAGCTTTTGTATAGCGAAGAAGATGTCATGGGCATCATACCGCAAAACAACCCGGAAAGAGGACGAGGCGTACTGCCTTATGGGGATGTTCGGTATCAATATGCCCTTGCTTTACGGCGAAGGCGAGAAAGCGTTTGTGCGTCTGCAGGAAGAGATTATTAGGAAACTGAACAACGATGATTCCATTCTAGCATGGGGCCTAGACACCGAGGGAGCAATATCGTCTGCGGACGGAACAGCTCCACAACACAATCCGCCGAGAATCACTGGTTTAGTGCTGGCGAAGTCGCCGTTCGAATTTAAGAATTGCGTGGCTCTGGAACTGGCGCCTGTTCCAGGACCACTATTGACTCTTGACAATCTGGGTATCACTATTCGCCTGCCGCTTGTCTCAATGCACGTTGCCACAGGAGCTCGAATAGCTGAGAGGCTGTTGATCGGCCTTCTCAGTTGTTCGCTGCGAACAAACAAGAGTTCTCATATGGTTGGCATCTTGCTCTCTCCCAAGGAATGGACCATGTACCCCATCTTTCCACGCCATGTGGTACGGCGATCGATTCCTCTACACTCGACCTATTCAAGGACTGTGCTTGTAAGCAGCCGCGATGCACTTGCAAGCACAGATTTCCAGCAAATTACCATAGTTCCATACATTCAGCAAAACCCTGCTGGGCCAAGTCTATATAACAGGTCTTACTTAATTGACGAGAAGACGAGGATATCAGCTGTGGGACTCTGCCTGGTCCATGTAGAAGGATGGTATGGTGACGACTATCCACAGCTCGGTGGACGAGAACCCAAAAAGAGGGATGGGACCAATTGGCAAGCAGATTCTCGAACCTACACTCGCCTTTGGAACGACCCACCGATCCATGTAATATCCTTGGCCTATTCTTGTCGGCATACTCACCCAGATGTAGCTTTCATTGTTCACCTCGAAATGAGCCTCAATCTAGCGACCGTCTACGTCCCTTCAGGAATCAGTGCTGAGTATGATATGCAGACGGCTTGGGATTTATTGCAAGAAAGGCGTTGGCAGATGAGTTCGGATAGGATGATGTACACACGTGCCGATGGCCGTCGCATAGAGATGTCTGTAAGCTTGAAAGAGAAGAGAACCATTCATCAGTGGCGGATATTTAGCGTAGAGGTTGATGTCGTTGACGTCTCGTGATTAGGAAGTCGTGTAGCTTCATGATCATCCAGGGTGTCGGTATCTCGCCTTCACGTGATGAATATATGGTTGGTTACCACGAATACGATATTCATTTGTCTTAGGCATGGAGAGATGAACAAACCGACACGAGTGACGCCTAACAACTCAACGCCGCAGCAAAAGCCACAGCCAAAACGGCCGTGACACTTGCAGCGATTGTCCCCGCCGCACCCGTTTCCTTGGGCACTTCCGCTCCAGATGTACCCGACGCATCCCCACTCTGCGTCGCGTTGTCACCAGCTTCAGCTTCCGTCCCATTCGAAGCGAGAGGTTTGGCCTTGGAGAACAGCAAGCTCTGCACTATAGCCAGCGCACTGAACACCTCACCTAAATTGCCGTCGCTAGCAGTTTCCAAACTATCCGCATGATCCCATGAGTGCGAGCACTTGACGTCTTCCGAAACTTCTTCGCATATACCGGCGGCGGCTTTGGCGGACGCTTCGAGCTTCTTGGTGAGCGGCTCTGCGAGGGAAGGGGCAGCGATAACTGCACGGGCATACGAGCGTGCGGTGATACCTTTGAAAGAACGCATATCGATGCTGCACTTACCGTTGCGTTCGCAGGCTATCTCTGTGAGGATATCGTCTTCGAAGAAGATATTGGAAGAGTTCACGAAGCCTTGTACGGCATCGGTCCATTTCTGTTCGCCGTTGGTCTGCCGGTGGCTATTAGTATGAAACTGGGTCAAACAATGAGAGATACTCACAATATTCTGCATGATAGCAGAGCCCTCTGTATATACCGAGTGAATGTATGACCACTGCACGCGATTGGCATCCTCGCAGTTATCTAAGTCGGCAGAAGTACCGTCGTAAACATCATAATCATCGCTGATCAACCCCCGGTCCTTGGCCCAGGTATACGATTTATCCGCCCATTCAGAGTAAGTTCCGTTGCCGGTAAGCTTGGCTAGGCGGGCAGCCAGGAGGAAGAAATCGCCAGTGGCAGCATTGGATTTGTAGTCGTATCCAGACTGGAACGTGAAGATTGTATAACGAATACCTCCTCCACAGGTTTCTTCGTCCCATCTTAGCACCTGCACATCGAATACCTCGGCAGCGTACTCAGCCCACGATCTGTTCTCTGGTGGTGAGAAGCCAGTTTCGGCCGCGGTCAGGGCTGCTAGAGCCCAGGTGGTTTGATCCTCGTTCGTAATTTGTCCAGTTTGATTCGCTGGCATAAAGGCATAATCCTCACCAAGCTGCGCTTGGATGCCATCAGAAACGATGGCATCATACTGGCTATCGCCGGTTAGGTAGGAATAGTCGATGAGCGCGTTGAAGACGAGACCGGCTTCCCACCAGTAGTAGGGATCGGGGAAAATGCCTGGGATTCCAGATTCGGACACGCTCTCATTGTAGAAGGTGACGAGACCGTTAGCAAGCGTCTTTGCAGCACTCTTGATGGAGTCTATCGATGTTAAGCTTTAGTTACGCAAGTGGGGACGACCGCTGTTACCCTGGTTCTGAACATCCAAGTCTAGCGCGGCGGTAGAGCTGATGATGCATGACAAACTGAGTGACAGGACGCTAGCGCGTGTGAACATGATGAAAGACGAAAAGAGTGTAGTTACGCTGCGAAATAGAAGTTGACAGTAGAGAAGCCAGTACTTCAAAAAGCAACAAGACAGGAAAAGCAGTTGGTGAGGTTTGTCAAGTGGCACAGGATCAGCGCTAGTATTGTCAATCCAGCCGCTGTGCTATGCGTCCAGTCACGGTTCATCGGCTAGCTAGCGCAGAACGCCTGAACCCACATAGCCTTGTTGCTCATCTCGCATAGCCATTCAGGGGCAGAGCATCGTATGAGACGTGTATACGGGCGTAAAGCTGCCTTGCGATGGACGTTGGAAACAGCACAGCCCTACAATATATATAGGTGCGCCCTGGTTACGGGGCCAAGAGCAGCCACAACATATCATCTTTCATGCTTGAGTATGTCCGTGTAGCTAACCAGGCGCATGGAGTTGGTTGAACAATCTCTTTCTGTGCACCTCCAAGTCATACTGCATCGCATCAATTCGCCTTCCGACCGATACCCATCTTCGCGATCAGAGCTTCCGCGATGTCGCGCGCGAAGTTCTGATCGTTGATTGCGCGCTCGTCCTCGATTATCTCGACCTTACTATCCTGGAGCCCTCTTCTTATCGCATCGAAGAGCGCCGCATCCGCCTTTTCGTCTTGAAACGGCCCATCAGGGACCGCAATCATGCTGATACCGCCCTTTGGAAGCCATATCTGAATCACCTCAGGGTTCTTTGCATGAGTTTCCAACTTCGCCGCAATGAAATCGCCGACTTGAGTCGCTTCGTCTACGGATGTCCTCATCAGGGTGACGACAGGGTTGTGCTCGTAAAGTTTGCGGTCCTTGTATCGTTCCGGTACCGTGTTCATGGGGCCAAAGTTTGTCATGTCAGTCGCGCCTACGGAGACGATATATGGTATTCCAGCTTCTGCAGCAGCCTCGAGACGATGCTCGCCCGCGCTCATCACACCGCCGGTGATGTGGTCGCATATTTCGGTAGTGGTGAGATCCAGCACTGCATCAAGGCCTCCTTCTTTGATAAGTCGCTCCATTGCTTTTCCGCCGTGGCCGGTAGCATGGAAGACGTACGTTTCGATATCGTAATTCGCCTCCAGATGTGTGCGTATTGAGTCGACGGCTGGAGTAGTAACACCGAACATGGTGATACCAACACGCTTCTTCTTGGATTGAACGGAATCTTGTTGACGAGCCGCGTAAGCTCGAGCCATTCCCGCGATGGCGGCTCCAGCATTACTGAGTACATTTCGGAGTACCTGGTTGAGACCAGCGACGTCCACTACGCTGTACATCAAAGTGATATCCGTTTCTCCCACGATGGGTCCAGTGTCACCGCTTGCGACGGTAGAAACGATAAGTTTGGGGAAGCCGATGGGAAGTGCGGTTCTCATCACTTCTGCCGCTAGGGATGTGCCACCCGAGCCTCCTGCGTTGATGACAGCGTGTATCTTTCCTTCTTCGAACAATTTCTTGACTGCCTTGGTAGCGCGAGCAGCCATCGTCTTGATGACTTCGCCTCGAGGTAACTCACTCACATCTTCTACGCCACCTTGATCCTTCAGCAGTTGGTCTTGACTGATGCTGATGGAACTGTGCCTTATACGCTTTCTACCCACATCCATCAACGTCACGTCGACATTGTTTTGTTCTATTTCTTTGCGGAGGAAAAGAAGCTCCTCCAACTTTGTGTCGCAAGTACCAAGAAGTACGACGCGTGGGTGAGAAAACATAATGATATAATCATCTGATAAAGAATTCAAGGTTGATGTATAAGTATCGAGTGGGTCGTAGATGCGCATGCCCGTGTAATGCCCCCCCGCGCCTGCATTACGTCATCGTGCATACTTCAAAAGCGCGACCTAGCATCATCGCTATAGCATCGAGACTTCCGATTATATCTTTTGATACCAGACACCTCATCTCCACTCCAATCAAGAGCTGAAGTACGCTTAGTTCGCAAACATGTCACCCCCAAGCGATCGTAAAAGCATATTACAAAATCTCCGCTCGCAGATCGACAATGGCAAGATCATTGTTGGCGCGGGCGCTGGCATCGGACTGAGCGCGAAATTTATCGAAGCCGGTGGCGGTGACCTCATCATCATATACAACAGCGGAAGATACCGAATGGCAGGCCGCGGGTCGCTGGCTGGTTTGATGCCATATGGAAACGCTAATGATGTGGTTCTGGAAATGGTATGCTAGATGCAACAAACAGGTGCTCCCAGTTAGCGGCTAACAATCTCAGGCAGGCGAAGTTCTTCCCATAGTCAAATCCACGCCGGTACTAGCAGGAGTATGCGCTACCGACCCGTTCCGTGACATGTCTCGCTTCTTGAAGCAACTCAAAGACCTTGGCTTCGCCGGCATCCAAAACTTTCCGACTGTTGGATTGATCGACGGATCTTTTCGGCAGAATCTTGAAGAGACGGGAATGTCTTACGACGCCGAAGTGGAAGTCATGAAGATGGCGCGAGAAATGGACCTCCTAACGACGCCGTATGTGTTCAATGTGGAAGAGGCGAAAAAGATGGCCAATGCAGGCGCCGATATCTTGGTCGCTCATATGGGACTTACGACGAGCGGAAGTATCGGGGCGAGCAGTGGGAAGAGCTTAGATGATTGCGTTAAGTTGATCCAGGAGATACGCGATACTGCAACAGGTATCAAGGAAGACGTCATCATCTTATGTCACGGCGGCCCTATCGCAAAGCCAGAGGATGCGGAGTATGTGATCAGTCGAACGAAGGGCGTACATGGTTTCTATGGCGCAAGCTCTATGGAGCGCTTGCCAGTTGAAGACGCGATAACCAATATCACCAGAACGTTCAAGGGACTGAAGCCTGGGTCCTCTGCATAGCCTAGTAATGGGGAAATGCATTCGTTATTTTGTGGTTGTGTATCTACAATGTATACCGGAAGTCGGGATGGCGATCGCCAAGTTTACCTGAGTCGATCTGTCGGATTCGTTCCTCGATAGACATTACCTCTCTCTTCTTATTAATGCCGCGCAAAGTGAAGTACATGAGAGCGTAGCCACATGCCGCGATTGTGATCGTTGTGATGGAGACCGCGTGACCAATCACATAACGACCATCGTCATTCGTAATACGGTAGATCTGGCCGGCCATGATACCCGCCGAGTTACCGATCGTTTGTTGCAGTCCTATGGCGGTGGCGCGCTTGAAGTATCCCGCATTGCTGTTGATCACCCAGGTAACGTTCAACCCCACGACACAGTAGATGCCAGTAGCAGTGACAAAGGTCGCAAAGTACAGCACCCCAGTCGAGGACATGGAGACACCCAGCATCATGGCATAACCAATTGAGGTAACTAACGCCAAAGGGACCATGAAGAACGCTCGACGGTTGAAGTAATCCGAGCAGAAAGCGACGAAAAGATATACTACCGAGGCCCAGATGTACACGGGTACGGTGAGGAGCTGAGTGCGAATGCTAGAGTATCCAAATCCACGAATGATGACGGGGAGAAATGTCGAGAAGCCGAAGGAGCAGGTATTGGCGCAGAATTGGCAAGCAGAGCTGAGCCATACTTTGGGATCGCGGAAAGCAAGCTTTACTTCCGACTTGTCCAAGGCATCTGTTGTCATCGACTTGCCCTGGTACAATCGTTCGTTCTCGTGTCGGGCGCGAAGCAGAGCCTTTTCGTCTTCGTTCAACCACCACGCGGTCTCGAAATTGTCAGGTAGTAGGAAGATGGTAGCAACACCGACGATGATGGAGATGAGACCCTCCACCAAAAATAGCCAGCGCCAACCAGCTAGTCCTTTTGCGCCATGGAGATTTGTGAGACCGTACGCCAGTAGCCCGCCGAATGCACCGCTTAGTGCAGATGCAACAAAGAGATACGACACCCTCCGCGCTTGCTCCAGAGGCTTGTAGTACATACTCAGGTACAAAGTCAAGCATGGAAACAGGCCGGATTCGAAGGCACCGAGGAGCAGGCGGGTAGCGATGAGAGAGGCGTAGTTCTCGATGAAAGCAGCCCCGATAATGACAGCGCTCCAGCCGATGATGAATGTTGGGATTAGGCGGGATGGTCGCAGCTTCTTCAACAATATAGAGGCTGGAACCTCGAAGGCGATATAGGTGACGTAGAAGAGCGTTACGGCAACGTTGAGACGGTTGCCGGTGAGTCCCAGATCCTCGTTCATGCCTGCGATGGCAGCATTTCCTGAGCGCTATCAGCAAATGACCTTGTAAATTATTATTGCGAGATGTGTGTACCGATGTTGGACCGGTCGAGGTAGGCCACCTGAAGCACACTTGTTAGGCTCGTTGTAGTGGATGAGAGTTTGTATGCATACCAGAAACACCAATACCATCATCGGAGATAAAATGAGGTCCAGTTTGCGAATGAGCTGTTGATCTTAGTTAGCACGTGATACCCAGTGTTGCGTGCATTGCTTGTACCTTCTTCTCAGCGACTGGATCAATATGAATCTCTTCGCTAGCGCCAATTTGGGTATCCTTCTCGTGAACTGAGCCATCAAAGGTCTTATCATCCGGGGTTGGATGCGACATGGTGTCGGTGGTGTCGTCTTCCGCGGCTAGACGAGACGGAAAGCTCATGATACAGACTTGCGATCCAAACCAGACCCATCTGCCCTAACATATACCTTATACCGTTCATCTTGACCTGGGACAACATTATTGCCGATCGGTGCCTAAGGAATTGTCCGACGCGGGAAGATAGCGAGCCCTGCTAAAGTGGGCATGATACGCATGGAGGATGCGCTAGGAACATTGGCAGGCAGGCGTCCGATAGAGATACTATCGGCTAAATCCCAGCGTTATCGGGAATCATCAACATGACGGAGACGCGATACGAGGGAGAGATGGACAGAGGTGACGAAGGTCCGTCAGCGAAGAAGAGGAAGAGAGGTCGACAAGCGAAGAGCTGTGTCGCGTGCCATCGTCGGAAGCAAAAGGTGCGTATGACGTAAGCAGTCGCTCCGAGCTTCGCGGCGCGATAACGCGTTGTGATGACGACCCTCCAACCCAGCCATCTTCGCAGTGCTTCCGTTATGAACGATTGCAATCATTCCACGAGCAATGCTCAATACATCGGATAGATAGCTGATGGCCTACGCAGTGCGACGGAGAGCTGCCATGCTTCAACTGCAGCAGACGCGACGTTGCCTCCAGCTGCACGTACAGCGACGAGGCTGAAGCCCGTCGTCGGCAAACTTCACGTGTCGCCGCTATCCCTCTGAATGATGATATATCGTCAGAGAATCCCACAGGTACGTTTCTATCGGCGCTGGCGTTCACGCAGCAGAACGCGAGAGCCTTGTCGACACGCTCGTTGCAAAGATTGGTGCTAATGTTACCGCGAAGACACACGGGCCACTTCCACGCGTGCGAGAAACTCGCCCGAACCCAGAGACGCACAAGTCGGTAATCTCTTCCGCAGTCGAGATGCCCCATCCTTTTTCGGCTCATCCTACTTCGGACCTCAAGCTGCAGCGAAAATAATCGAAGAGCCCGCACCAGATCTTTCCTCCGGCATACGGCATGCTGCAGCCTCGGCGCAATCTTTCCGCGATGTTGGAGGCCCTTTTTCGCAAATCTGGGATCTCCTAGGTTTGCTGCCGCGCAACAAGGCCAGCGTCGATCGCCTCGTACATGTCTTCCTCGACGAGCTGAATTGGACCATAGACGCCATCCATCCCCAGTCCTTCAAACTCAAGTATGACGAGTTCTGGGAGCGTAAATTCGGCTTCGATGACTATGCATCTATCGATCTGAGATGGCTGGCATTGTTATTCATTGTCCTTGCGTACGGTGTTTTCCTCGACTGCCCCCATCCAAAGAATGGCGAAGTGCAACGGGAGCTTCAAGAGACATCACTACGCTTCTACTGGGCAGCAAGACGCGCTATAGTCATTGCACCAACATTCTACGGAGAGTCGACAGATCTTGTTCGTGCCGGTCTTCTGGTCACAAGTTATCTGATCCATTTGCGAAGAGTACCGGAAGCTTGGCTTACGACCAGTTTTGCCATGCGTATGGCCCAAGCACAAGGCATGCATATCGATGGCGAACGTTGGCGTCTCTCGCGTAAAGAGACCGAAACCCGAAGGCGTTTGTGGAGCCATCTTTACACCTTGGATAAGACCATCGCGCTTGCCATCGGTCGTCCCTTCGCCATAGTTGACCAGCAATGTCTCGTCAAGAGAGCCACCAACGTTTGGTTGGACGACCAACCGGACGAGGACACGTCCGCCATTCCAGAACTACCAATGTCTGAGCCGACTCTGAGCGTTTACAATTTTCTCGCACACGATCTGGCAAAGATTATCGGCAGCATTCAAGAGCGTTGCTTTGGTCTCTTTACCGTTTCGTACGACACCGTCATTTCGCTAGACCATGAGATTATCGACTGGGAGGCAAGGTTACCAGACTACTATCATCTGAAAACCCCAGTTACTTCTATGGATAGCACGCACCCCTTCCTTTACTGGAACCGCTTGCATCTCCACTCCATGTACCACTTCGCCCGCGTCACGCTTCATCGACCGTACTTGCTGCGTCAAAGTATCACCAATCGCTTCAGATATAGTCACGATGCGTGCATATCGTCGGCATGCGCAGACCTGGCCATGCGCATCGATTACTTCCAACAGCCATTGAATGACCGTCTGAAGTGGACTTTGGGTCCACACCACCTCTTCAACAGTGCTTTAGTCCTCGGGATAATTGCTGTCAAAGACCCACACTCGCCTAAATGTCGCGCGATACTAGAGGACCTCTCCGCATATTGTGAGATGCAAAGAGCTGATATCTGGCTCAATGAGTTCGCGCTAGCTGAGGTCAAAATCATTGAACTCTGCATCAAGAAAGCAAATCAGTTTCGTGCTAGTCGTACCGAAACACGTCCCAACACAGCAGACAATGCGCCACCCACCGTGCATGGTGCCAATACCATCGACCTGACATCACCTTATACGGAAGATAGCTCGGCAACGGTGCCAGATCTGCCGGCGATAGGTGCAGGTGGGCCCTTCCAATGGCATGCGCCTCCATGGGGTGACCCATCTTTCACCACCTTGTTTGAGCCAACCGATCTACAACACTGGGAGAATGTACTGGATAACATCACACAAGAGCAGATGCTGTTCGGCTTCCAATAGCACATCACGCTATGTAGACACTGCCGACCCCGTCAATTGTGCAACCATGGTTTTGGCATATCTCGTTGCTCTCTAAGGAGATGGTACTGTTTCACTTGTATGTCATGTAGCCTCGCTGTCGGTATATACCCTAAGCTTCCTCATAAGCTACGGGTGTAACCAGACTTCCCATACCATGACTCATTACAATCCTCAGATCATCTCCCGGTTTGAGCCATACCTTCGGCACCTTGCTCACACCGATTCCATGCGGCGTACCCGTCATGATTACAGTACCTGGCTCCAGCGTCGTTCCCTGGCTCAGATATGCCACTATTTCTGGTATGCTGAAGATCATATCGTTCGCCAGCGAATATTGCATAGTCTCGCCGTTGAGTACCGTCTTCAGCTCAATGTCGCCTGGGTTTGGTATCGAAGACGCCGATACCAAGCATGGCCCCAGTGGCGCGAAGCCATCGAAGCCCTTGCCGAACCCCCATTGCGCTCCGTTAAACTGATGGACTCGCGCGGTTACGTCATTCGAACATGTGTAGCCCAGCACGTAATCCATCGCATCTTCTTTACTCACGTTCTTGGCTAGCTTCCCGATGACAACCGCAAGCTCGGCTTCGTAATCGGCCTGGCCATCTGTCGCCTGATGTGGAATGACCAAAGGTGCGTTTGGCGAACCGAGGCATGTTGAAGGCTTGAAGAAGAGAGTTGGGTGGTCGGGAAGGTCCAAGTTCATCTCTTTGGCATGTTTCCGATAATTCAGGCCTATACAGCGGATCGTTCCAACTTCGGCTTTTGAAAGCGGTGGCAATAGTCTTGATATCGTGTAGGTCACTAGTGTTGGCTGGGTGTCCACGGAGAGTACGGTCGACCCGGTGAACACGCGGACTTTTACTTCTGATCCTGAAGTAAGGGCTGCGCCGACTGCGACGTATTAGCAACAACGGGCAATAAAGACAAAAGATCGACATACCATCCAATTCGGCATCAATGGGCTCGCCGATGTGCTCAGCACCGTCCTCGCTCGCGACAAACCGCACTAAACGACTCCAACTCTATGCAGCGTCAGCAGAGCTCTTTGACTATTTCCATTGATTGCCTACCGTCCTAATACCACTTGCGATATCTATAGACCCCATGCTTTCAAATTTTGAGAAAACGATCGATAGGACTTTGGGAAATCGTTCAACGAGGTATTTCGTGCCTGGCTCTTGGATACTTATCCCCTTTTAGTTCGCAGTGCAACAGTTGGTCTCATTACGACGGCATGCATCTCCGCTGCTTATCGATCGGGAATTGATGGAGAGGCCGACACCCCTGCTCGAGCGGGCCATTACCCCACCACTCATACGCGCGATGTCGGGTAACGTTATCGGAGGCGTTCTTTCCCGGTTGACAAGCAAACCAAACGAATAGCCGTTGAGCTGCAAGCCTATTGGAGCCGTACCACGACGAAATGACGATGCGACAACAGCACTGCAAATCTTTCCGAGACGGAAAACGATATACAATTATTTGCGATACTTGCTACAACGATGCTGAAATAGTCAGACGGGGACTCTTCCTCTACTCCAGGCTTCACTTCTCTGTGCCTTCTCAACCTTCAACACTGCTTCCGTAAAGCCTTTTGGGTATCCTTCTCCTTTTTCCTTGCCCTGGCATCCGAATTAAGCCTTTCCTGCTGCACGTGCGGTGGACGGGCATAGGTCTGCTCGTACTGTCCACGTAGTGGCTCCATTATCGCAGCATTGCCTACTTGGCCCATCATACCCAGATCCATCATTGATCGTGAGTTGAACTCATCAATGCGACGTTCACCAGGCGGCACATTCGCTAGGCTCGTGTCAATTGGTCCAAAATTACTGCGTCGGTTCAGATCGACGTTGATCCGACGAGGTGTTGGGGGTGTCACCGTCATGGAATCCGGTGAGCCCATCGTTGGTCCTTGGGTCGGATTCATGCCAGGAAAATGCACTGGTTGCTGCACCCACCCAGATGCCTCCTCTTGTTCGCCAAGCATACGCCTCGTCATCGGATTCCGGCTGCGAGGAGGCGGTGGTGGTCGCGATGGTGCTACACATGCAGAAGGACTTGCCAGCTCCAAAGGCTTTGGAGGAACAGGAGGAGGCTGCTTGCGAATATCCAGCGGCTGAGGGCGCAATTCGGAAGCGCACCGGAAACTATCCATCGAGCTTCTCACCCTCGATTGACAGACACTAGGCGGAGTCACGGCATTACCGTTCACGTCCGAGATCTGGGACACAGTCGATTGATCCAGCGACATTGACCTCGACGGTATCGTTGCTGTCAGCGGAGGTGACGTCACCGACCGCTGCGATGTAGATGGTCGAGGAGTGGCGACCTCTTCACTCTGCTGTCCGGGCATCTCTGATTGCAGCGACCTTGCAGTTTCAGGTGTGCTCAAGCCCGAGCGCGTTGGGTCTGCATTCACGACGTGCAGACGCTGTCTCGCAGGCCAGGGACTGGCGATAGTACCCACGTCGTCATGAGCTAGGGAAACAGGAAAATGGTCAATTTCCCTCGCTTCGTTGTTCACAGCATTTCCAGCTGATTTGGAAGACCTGGCAGGAAATATCTTCCTCTTGTTCTTCCAAAGGTTGCTTGTCGCTTGAGCTACACCGTTCAAGTAAAGTCCTGCCCCTTTCTGCTCAAAAGCTTTCATGCCCTTGTTAGTCTGCCGGCCCTTATTTAAGACTTGCTTCAATAAATTCTGGGAAGGCTTGGGCTCTTCGGGAAAGTTGTTGATGACCACACTGACCGGACCGTTGAATATGTTCGTCATTGGGTCCTGCCGCAAGCCAGACGAGATCACGTCCGACGAACTGACAGCATCGGCGGCAGTAGCTGGCTCTGGGTGCTCAGCAGCAACGGAAGTAGCGTGCTGAGATCTTGCAACAGGTTTACGCGCAACACTCCCCTGAGACGTGCGAGACGACGGTGGTCGAATAGCAGATGAAGCTTCGCTTGAATCTGTAGATGACGATACGGGTGTGAGCGGACGAGGTTTTGGTTCTTCCCGCTGGTAGCTATCTCGGTCCCGATGATTCCAGAGATCGGAGAGAGTGACCTGTGGTCTTGCTTGGCGCGGCGGTGGCTGCGTTTCCTGGGCTGTGAAGAACGTCCCTCCGGATGAAACCGTATCCGGTCGACTCGGTACACCACTTGCTTGCGATGATGGCGGGTATGCGCCAGAGAACGATTCGCTTCGCATAGACACAATGCTGGATCCCCTGTTACCCAACGGGCGTCGAGACACAACACTTTCTTGCACAGGCGTCTCAGAGAATACTCTCGCCTCGCTGCGAGGTGCTCTACTGCTCGCGTACGAAGGGGGGTATGCTCCTGGAAGTAAGGGCGTCCCAGCGATGGGCCTTGAATCCAGCACCGTACTAGCAGCCGCCGAACCGGTCTGGGAAGGAGACGGAGGATAAGCGCCGGGATATCGAGGAGGCTCTTCGCTGGGCTGCGACTCGTTCGGGACATCGTGGGGTGCCTCAAACGACTCCACTCTCCGCGCAGAGTTCTCTTCTATCGTCTGATACGACGGTGGACGGCCTGAGGAGACCGATCGGATGGACGATCTGCTTCTTTCGGAGGCCGGTGGCGTAGGAATTCCGCCCAGCGGGTGTAAAAGCATCGCACCCACCCTGTTGTAATCCATCGTGTGTGTGGCGACGGTACGGCCAGGGATTTGGGCTCGGGAATGTGTCGCTGATCGCAGACTTGGCGGTCGCGATGCAGATGCCTCTGAGATCGGTGTCAAAGGCCGATAGAGTATATTCGGATTGTCAATGGCCTCCTGAGCGTCGGCCACACTCCTTTGTTCCTGCTCAGTGACTGGACCCGGGGGGTAGGACGCCATGGCCCCCAACACTGGGAGGTCTTCTGGATGCTGGGTAGCCGATGGCTCGCCTGATGGTGCAGAAGTTTGTCCTTGCTCGTTTACGCAGCGTAGCATATCCTCTCGAAGTTGCCCGACCTGTGCAACTTCACGAGAATGCTCTGCGTCTTGACTCTGGCTTATCGCCATCTGCAGCTGCTCTTCTTCACTCAGGCCGCGCAAACTGTATGCCTCCTGAAGGCGCGCAGATTCTTGTTCATAATGCTGCTGCTCAGTCTCGGCAGCCACTTTGCTCTCGACGATGGCCTGATCCAAGGCCTCTTGGCGTAATCGTGCATCTTGAGCCCGAGCACGCTCATCTTTCAGAGACTGTAGTTCAGCTTTGCGAGTAGCTTCACGTTCTTGATCAGCGGCTAGTGCTTCACGCCCCGACTGCCTTTGAGCTTCGAGAAGGCGTTGTTGGTCCGCCTCTGCATCTGCATTGCGTCTCCGATCCGCCTCCTCTGCCTCTACCTGGCTGATGGACAGCGCAACAAAAGTATGCTCGCGTTCTTGATCGGCAGCTCGTGCTTCGAGCTCCGACTGTCTTTGAGCCTCGAGAAGGCGTTGTTGATCCGCCTCCGCGTCTGTATTGCGTCTCTGGGCCGCGTCTTCTGCTTCTATCCGGCTAATGTCGAGCGCAACAAGAATCTCCTCGTCCTCCGCCTCGAATTGTCTTGTGACCCTAGCGCTCGTTGGACGCGGTGGTACCCCGATTCCCGCGGAAGCTCGACTTGCTTCAAGGGCACGATTCAGATCTTGTTCTTCCCTCATCTGAGCATCGGCCGCGACCCAGGCCATGTCTTCCGGACCGTACTCTTCGTTCAAGTTGGACATTGCGACGGTCGGAGTTTGGCCTTGTGGTCGCGCGATACGGGCAGAGTCCGCCGGGTCGGCGCAGTCTTTTAGGCGCTTGTCGGAAGATGTGAGGGCGGGACGATGTGCGAGGAGAGCGGTAGTCGCGGTACAGCCGGTGAAACCAAGACTTTGAGAGCGCTGGTGGGTGTAAGGGTGGAGGGGAGCCAAGGTCCTTGAGTGTAAGAGACGGGCTATTTATCAGTAGACGAAGCACCCTCTGGGTGCCCGTGCTCACTTGCATCTCCTGAACGGGCCCATGGCGAGGTGATATAATTTTCGCAACGTCATAGCAGCTCTGGAGAGCCTGCAATGACAGACGCTGGCCATGCGTGGTCATAGCATTTTCCGGACAGTGAGGCAGGGAGCTCACTTGGCGTGAAGACCACTGGAAGAACCCCGAACATCGTAACCGATAAGTGATTTGAAAGCTTGGACTACCATATACTGTTGTATTGTATATACTGACGAAGAGGGTGGGCCGACTCAACCGTTGATGCGAAGTCGTAGCGCGAACATATAGCATACGAAACATCACTTTCCCCGCCCAAAGAGGTTTGTGTGTCGGCACATTCGTTGCTGTTTGCATACGCGCTTGTATTTGGTGTTTGGCGTAGGACTCTTTCCGCTGACGCCGTTGCTCTGTTTGCGCGACCACTCCTCGTCCTCAGTCGCTAGTATTTAATCGCTCTCAAATTTGGTATTTGTCGCAATTCGACTGGGTATGATGTCCAGAATTAGTCCACCAGCTATAATCCACATCCTGTAGTCAACACGTCCACGACTTGCTTTCGGAACTCAATCATGCCTTCGACTGGATCTTCGTAGTGCCAAGTAAGACACTTTGACACGACTTGCGCGTAAGCCTTTCCCATCTCTCTCTCGATTTCGGTACTGTTGGCCCAATCTAATATCGCATTGTGTATACGATTAAAGAGATCCTGCTGCTGTACTATGTCGAATATCGGAAACTTCTCTATGCGGCGGGCGAAGACTTTCGCCATCGTCCGCCATAGTCCAAGCTCTAGAAGAACCACGCCCAGTGAGTAGATCTCGTGCTCGTTGGAATATTCTGAAGATGGTCGGCCAAAACGGTCATGGTGGCGGTACAGGTTCGGCTCCAACGGGAAGTGCGTAGCCTCGAGGGGTTGGAGGACACCCCAGCCAACAAAGAAGGGAGACAACTCGAGATCGTTAAACGATCTTGGCAGCATTACGATACTGCGCGACTGTACGTTCCCGTGAACCCAACCGGAGGCATGCGACTCGAGTAGTGTGCTTGTAAGCGCTCTTGCGATGAGAAAGCGACTTCCTATTGAGGGTCTCGCGGTCGGACCCTTCGAGATCATGTCATACAAAGACGGTGGGTTTGATGCCCAAGGATGGCTTTGCGGAGCGCGGTAGATGATCAGACTCTTTCTGTTCAGTGGATCATCGATGAAACCCATACAGCTTAATGTATGCAGCTGGTAGCCGTTCTGGGCGTCACTCTTGACAGATACGTCAGTCTGATGAGGAGCCTGTAGCAACCACGTCAAATGACACATGTACTCAGCAGGCGTCTCGTCGTCCGATCGCGTTTCAACAAGAACGTCGACTTCATCTCCACCGTCATCGTATATCGTCTTGATAAGGCCATGCGATGGCTGCCCAGTGCTAATCGTTTCTCTGAGCGCGCCAACGAGCGCAGTATAGTCGCCCGAAGGTTCTGCACCTGCTCGATGCTGGCGTTCGAGTTGTTCTGCCACGCCAAGGATAGCAGCCTGCCTGGAATTACCGAATTCTGGATCCGGAGGTCCGATGCCAAGGAAGACAATTTCCAGAGTTTGACGAAGCCGATGTGTCCATTGCAAGCAATTCAAGGTGAGTGTGGCCATCTCCTCTTCTCCGAACAATGCTTTGTATAGCCCTGGCCGCGCCTTTTCTCGCCAGAGTTGCGAGCGTTCTCTCATTTCGTCTCTCCAGCTCTTCTTTTCATGCTGAACATCTAGTGACGCAGCGCGACCGCGCTTCAGATCCTCAATGCTTTTCTGCCCCGCACCGGGGGTGGGACTCTTGCCGATGTACCTCCATGCCTCCCGGTGCGCGGCTAGAGACTTGTTGAGCGAGTAAAGAGAGTGCTCTACATCACTTGGTAAGATACGATGTAAACGACTGTCGCGTAAAACTCCGGTTAAGTCGCTGAAGCAGACATTCGAAAACACATCCAGGAACACAAGCGTCTCGTTCAAAAAGTTCGTTGTATTCGTTACGCCGCTTGTGTCTTTCGTGACGTCGCGGACAAAGATCAAAGTTGCGCAAATGACTACAGCGACGTTAGCATCGTGAATCTAACCCCATTGTCTCCTGTTCCGTGTTTGAGAGCAGACAAACGATTAGTCAAGACCTTTTTAGTTCAGCCATCTCTTGCACAATGTCGTGAAATACACGAAGCTTAGAACGTGGTAGGTTGTTGATCGAGGCGTTCAAGCGATTATTGACGGTTACACGTACGGTGAAGGAGTTCGAGAGATGCGCTGACATGGTCCATAGCGTCCTCTCGTGTTTGAATGGCGTCGCAAACTGCCCAACAAAGTTTGGCCTCAATCGCCGCTGATAGAATGCAATGAAGTCGCAGGATGTGAGAAGTGCATTAGCGGCGCAAGCTGTCACGAGGGTGAGCGAACGGCAGTGCGGCGTCCCATCGTCGCGCTAAGCCACCACGCGGGCGCGTTGCACCCAGCTAAGATTGAGTTACCCCGCCGCCGCATAGCTGTTACGAACGACTACGAAACGTGATGGGCAGAATCCTGACGTGATTTGACGAAAACAAGTAGAAGGAGACGAGAAGCTGGAAGGGAAGTGGGAAGATTGGCAGCTATCCAAGGTCGGGCGCGCGTTCGCGATGGGGACGTCATTGCCCGGGCACAGTTTCGAAGACACTAAACTCACCTGGGCAGTATGTGCGGACTTGACGGGACATTCGCATTTGCGTCGCGTCTTCTCTTCTCACGATCGTCAGTTTGCAAGATGCAAGATAGTCCACTTATATGGTTTGGATTAAGTACATAGTCATTCTACACTACCTTGGTACCCGCCAAACAGACAGCACGTGACTGACGTCATCGATCGCGCGAGATGTGCGGGCCCCTTCCCTCTCGACCTATGTTCTCACGATACCAGGAGACCACCTTACGAAGAGGTCTTCATAAGCTCAACATCTACGCGGCTTCTATCCTACGATATGGTGGCTGTATATCATCTGGTTAAATGCCCATGATGTCACGTGGTATTTTCAAGACGTCCATCTCGATTAGAAACCGAAATTAGTACTCCTCCGTTTGCCGCGTTTCGCGCTGTACACGTCTCCAGTACTCGGTCTACTGGGTTTGCTTCTGTTCTCATCCAAGTCAGAGCTTGTGAAGCGCCGAATGAGTCTGCGTGCAAGACCAGGCCGCTTCTCTCTTTCCCGTTCCCATTCCGTACTCCGCCCTCTTTGCTCGTAATCGATTACCTCGGGGGTGGCCCCACCTCTATCTGCATATGATTCTGTCATACCCGGTCCTTGTGGTTTATCACGAAGTCGACCGTGCACGCCTGCTCTACCAGAGCGCCAGGAATAGCTAGAGCCGATCGACTCGGTTGGAGAAGTTGAGCGTTTACCTAGTGACGCGAACATACGCCTAGGAGCGGACCGGAAGAGCTTCGCTGGACGAAAATTTATCATTGAGTTTCCTTGCGATGACGAGCCGGTCACGCCAGTTGGGGGCAATGCTGTAGCCAAGTTGCTCAGATCGAGCGAGTGCAGACTCGAAGAGGTCGAGCTATGTGTTGAGCTGCGGATGGGGTCGTTGTTTATCATGCTGGTGTCTACAGCACCTGCTGATGGTATTGTGTGAGGTCGGTTCAAGCCAACTCTCTGGATGCGGTCATCGCGATGGCTCTCCTCCGCACTCTCCTCGCCAGTGAAACTGGACGTGATCGTGTGGAATCCTATTTTTAGGTCGGGTACGAAGCTTTGCTGCCTACAGTCTGTCGAATTTGTCTCGGTCTGCGGGCGCGTTTGCCATTCTTGCGAAGACTGTCGCGACATCTGCGCTGCCAAGGAAGGTGTGCCAATGACTTGGAATTATAGAAGAGAACTCTGGGTGTTATTGCTAGCTCCCATTACTGTTGTGAAATTGAGTGATGCGATCAACACTTTGTATGGGCGGTGTGAATGAATTATACGGTCCCTAGTACCGTTGCCGGAGCGATTACCCACATAGGCGATCGCCGGAAGACAATGAAACAGCTCTATCAGTGCTGCATTCGCAATGTGAGTAGGACAGTCTGGTCGAGTGTGTCGAGTGAAAATAAATACAGATCTGATCCTTCAATGGTCTTGCCGTTTTTGATTGTCGCGCAAGAACGACACCAAACTAAGGTCTCCATATTCCTTCCCCAGATGTACCCCAGGTTTCGATACACTGGACCTCACTCATCGACGAGCCCCAGCTTTCCGACCTTCTACTGTAAAAGTCCAACATGACAGAGCTCTTGGTCGGGATGGGAAAACATTCTCCCAAGATGTCGTGTCTGGCGTTATCAGGAGGGCTCTAATATTTATTTGCCTCCCCCGGCATCTTCCTCGACAAAAGCGGGTAACAGCGTGAATAAGTCGCTCCATATTACAATAATGCGCTGGCGCTACATATGTATGGGGTATGAATATTAGAGTCTCTCGACGCGGGAACCGATTCGAGAGATGTGAATATCAAATTCGACCAGAATAATCGAATTAGCATAGTCTAGACAGTAGTACGCATTATCCTGGGACCCAAATCGGGACCCACATCCTAGCATCAAGGCCGCGAACGTTGAGATTAGGCCACTTGCTGTTAACACTAGTGGGAGGGCATACCCGTGCGTTGTTGAGAACGTAGCCTCTACGTCGAGTGTCGAGCAAACGATTTAGTTGTTTGCTTCAAGGTCGAAGCTCAAATGCGTCCTTGACTGTACTT